TCGCCCCACACCCACCCCCACCCCAACCCCCACGCAACCCATCCCAACCAAAAACCAAAACCCCCAAAATGCCAACAACACTACACCTACCCAACTCCGATGCCACCACCTTATAATAATGATGAAATGCATAGAAGCAGGGGTTTAGGTGGGCAGATTGCTATAATTAAGGTATGATTTGAGGAAGAAAATGAATGAATATGCAGAAAAAATGGATAGATATTATACTGAAAATTGCATCATGGTGGTGGTGATGGGTGAGGTGGCATCGAAGTTGGGTGGGTGTGGTGGTACTGATCGTCGATGGTAAGTGCCGGCATTTTGCTGGTTTGGTTTTGGGTTGGGGTGTGAATGGAGAAGAAAATAGGACTTTTTTTTTTGTTTTTATTTTAATTATTTTAGTTTAGTTTTTTTATACAAAAGATATAAAAATTTCCTTTTGCATTTTAAAAATTAATCAACATTTGTCAGGCGATTTTTGGTCAACTAATAGAGAAAGTAACGATTTTTATCAACTTGAGCTTTAGATGAAGTTTTTGAAAGTTTTAATACCGTGAGTGCAATAAATTAAATGTTTGAGTCAAGTCTACATAAAGTTGAAATATTTGGTGCAATAATTGCAATTTTTAAAATTTTAAAGACTTTTATGAAAGTCTCCAAAATATTAAATCTAAAGCAGAAAGTATAAAAATATAAAAAATCAAAATAAGTCTCTTATTCATCCAAAGATTTTGGGAGACTTTGACAAAAAAATATATTTTTTAATATATTTTCAATCTTGTAAATACTCTATTTCTTCTTCCATTCTACGAACCTTACAGTTATAATCAAAAGTTTATTACTTTTTCTGCTAAATGTTAATTATATTTGTTCCCTTTTCATTTTCTCTATTTTTTATTATTTATCTTCACTTTCTACCAAAAAAAAAAAGAAGAAGAAGAAAATCTAATTAAAATTTCTTGTAACATTTTTTTCATCAAATTTTTATGTAATCTATCAATTTTGAAATAAATTTTTATATTAAAAAAGACTAATTTGTCATTAAATTTTAAATATTACAGAAATATTTTTTTATATTTTAATTATTTGTTTATTCAAGTAAGGTTATTTAATTTTTTCTTTTAAAAATATTTTTTTAATTGAATGGGTATATGGGATGGAGATCAATCATTGACTTTTTTATGTGGAAATCCTAGTGATTTCTATTTTAAACGAAAGTTTTCAGAAATCATCTGAATTCTATAGAAGTCTATAAAAGTTCTAAAATGAAAGTCTATAGAAATTTCACTAATTTCATACAAATTTATAAAAAATCATGAAATCCACAAAAGTTTCAATTGAATACATCCCCAAATGATTTGTTTCATTAAACATATCATTTAATTGCACATTAACGCCACATAAACTGATATTATAATTCGGTGATGCTAAATATCATTACTTTTTTTTTTTTTTTTTTTTTTTTTGGGGGGAAAAAACCTAAAAAAACATTTTTTTGTTGGTGAGAACTAACCTTAAACAACACAACACATACGTTTGTTTTCCATCGTTCATAGATGATGGCTTATTGCTGACATGCCAAATATAATTTCTCCAAAATGCTGTGAGTTCCGTAAGACCTCTTGATAATATTTAACATTGATTTGCGTATGGTTGAAAAATTAATAAAAATTGTGAACTTAATAAAATTTGCGGTTGAAATGAGTTTGTGAAAATTTGAGTTTTAAAAAATTGGGATCAAACAATGGTTTAATGTGCATTTTGATAATTCCTCGTATTGTTTAAATTTAGTTGTATTAATTGTCTATGCTTTATTTAATTGTCTTGTATTAAGTTTGCATAAAGAGGGATAATTATTTTATTTTGCTGCAGATTTCAAACAAATCGAAGAAAATACATTAATATCACCTAGGTTATTTTTTTATCAGATTCTTAAACAATCAGAAAAAAATTAAAATTCTGCTAGCAATCATTCTAAATTACCTGCTACAAAAAACAATGTGCTCTCCCATTTATGTTTCTGTAATTCACTTTTCAAATCATTCAAGTCACAGCTTCAACTCTCATGCTTAACCTAGTAGGATGACCTTGTTCTTCCTCCAAACGGCAAAAAAACTGCAAAGGGATCGACATTGTCGAAGATGCCACTTCTGCGTCATGCTGAAAAGAGAATTCGTAAGCACAGGGCGATGAACGGCAGATGATCAGTCGAGCAGTTCGGTAGTTCTAATTATGAAGGGGGAACAAAAGTTCCGACATAACCAAATCCCACGATGAAGAAGGTAACAGCTTGAGCGAAGAGGTAGACAAAATAGTGGTTTTTCCCGAATGCCAAGTCGTAACAGCCAACAAAGAAGAGATACGCACCCATCCCAAGCTCCATCAAATGGATTCTGTTGACGATATACGACAATTGAAGCTTCAGTCGAGGTATCATAGATTGAACAAATATATATATAAAGAGATATATTACCTCTCTCCAATCCTGAATCGAGGTCGCTTAAAAGCTTTTACGGCTGACTTTAACTTGAGTGCATCCCCGAGTTTATCAGTGACAACCCATTCATTTACTCTCCCTGCCTCCAACAGGCCAATCAATGTAGCTTTACTCCGGTGTAATGACATGACATTCTCAAAAAGAGTCCAGAACACCAGCAAATGAAGTGATCTACAAAAATGTTAAAAACTCTTTAACATCGATAAAATTTAATCACAGATAACAGATTAACAGCACCGATACTCGAGTTCACAAAGAGACAAACCTTGGAGTTCCAGCTGCATTGAGTACGGTAATGATTGCAGGTATGTAAACTGATCCCCACTTCGGAACTTCAACTTCAGGTACTAATACCGTCGCAGGCAATACAATACAGTAAAACACGAACGTAACTATATGGGCTGTGATCTTCCTGACCATGAAGAAGCTGTATATTACATAAACTTTTTTCCAAAAAGATACTTTCTGCAAGAAATAGCAGGGAAAAACGAGAAAGAACAGTTCAATATAGTGCTCAATTGCAAGACAAACACATAATTTATGGGAAAAAGTTTTTGAAAAACTAACCTTATTTCTTACAATCTCAGAGAACATTTTTCTGAAAAGATTGGCAGGACCACATGACCAACGATGTTGTTGGTAGCGAAAGGCTTTGAATGTGCTTGGCAATTCATTTTTAACCTGTTGATAAAAGAGAGATTCAATAGGAACTGGCGACAACATTTTCTACTATATAATACACAAAGGGCTTGTTTGGTACACAGTATCGGACTGTGGACACGAATAACAAGTTGAAAATTATTCTTAAAAATAGCAAAAGTATTAGGTATCTAGGTACCATGAGAGTGCCGAGGTATAAGAATTTCCAGCCTTTGAGACTAGCTCGGACAGCCAGATCCATATCCTCAACTGTTGTCCGATCCTTCCATCCCCCAGCTTCGTCAATTGCTGCAATTCTCCACACACCAGCAGTTCCTATAATTTTAAGAACAGGAAAGGAATTAAGTTATATTCACAATAAATTTTAAAATAGTAAAAATCACCTATAGATTGCAATGGTCATTACCATTGAAGCCAAAGAAAGCATGGGTGGCGGATCCTACTTCTTGCTCCACAGTGAAATGATAGTCTAGTGACATTTCTTGCATTCTTGTCATCAAGCATTCGTCAGCATTTACTGCAAAACCACCCAAAATCCATAAAATATTTTTTGGTGGACCAACTAAATTATTTATGTTAATACAATTTACAAAACCCGGTTAAAGAAATTAAATTTCAGAGGGAATTAAGCCCCTGTTCGAAACAACCCCCCTTCCCATTAAAATTATAATCCATTTTTTTTCTATTCTTATCAACCACACATTTTTCAATAAAATAATATTACACGTGAACACAAAACATTTTCTCTTTTTTTAACCACACATTGTTCAAAAAAAAAAAAAAAACACTATTATAAAAATCATAATCTCAAATAATGGGATAAACGGGGGCTAAAATCACACAATCTGTCAGTGTGGTGTGGGGGTCGATATCTAACAGGAACATGAAATTGCTAGCAAGAACTCTGCTACCTGTACAAAAAATCTCTACAGTTAGTTTGATAAATGCGTTTGTGATAAAAGACAAATATACCCTTGTCTTGATTAATAACTCCAATAAATCCCACCCCTTTGGAGAATTTAGGATTTTCTGGCTACCATGGCAGCAAATCTAGCACTTCATAATTGCATAATTTTGATGGACACAATTTTTTCAGAAAAAGAGGAGTCTGTGAGGTGGGGGATTATATTAAAGGGTTTCTTTGGCACAGCTATTTTTAGAACTAATTGTCCTCCCATCAAGAAACCAAAAACATCGAATCCCCTTTAGCACTTCTAAATGGTGCCCTCACATAACTGTCTCACATATACACCATTGACATATTTGGCAAATAAATTAGATAGCACATGATGATAACACTGCATACTAAACACACACTATATATACATACACAATATGAACATATTACTTTCAAGTGATGCAATAAAGATACAATCTTGCTACAGAGCCCGGGTTTAAATCCTGAGCTCCAATCCAGGGCCAAGGTGGAAACACCTCGGTCGTTGATTTTCTGCACTTGGGGAAGCCACCATCAAAATCAGGGGCAGAGGCTCTGCCCCTGGAACGGAACCCGGGATTTAATCCGGGGTTCTTCAACATTTTCCATAAAGATATATACAAGGACGGGATGATCATTAACATACATTTTTAGATGAGGTGATGATTTGACAAAATAAAGAAATATCTCAATTAAACAGATTGAAACAAATTATGGTATACTAGAACTAGTACAGGACGCTCCAGTTAATAACAATTAGTTACACACATCTTCGTGTAAATAAAACGACATGGAAAAGAATTTATGAAGTCTGACTTCAACAATCAGTAAAATTTTGATGGGCCAAAAAATTACCGAATTTCCAACGAGCCTGAACAAGAGCAAGTTCTGGATTGTGCACTAAAAAGGGGATTGTTCGCCGTAGAAAATCTGGTTCGGGTTGGAAATCTGCATCAAATATAGCTACATAATCACAGTGCTTTACGTAGTTGTGCTTTAAGCCCTGTTTTAGTGCCCCTGCCTTGTATCCAGTCCTATTGTCCCGAATTTCGTATTTAATATTAATCCCTTTGCTTGCCCATCTTTGGCACTCCATTTCCACCATATTCTATATCAATTCCATGGCATGCAAAACCCAGAAAAATCAAGAAAACATACAAACAAAATAGGAAAAATGATAGATTTGAATGATCTGGGATTTACCTTGACAATGGGGTCTGTTGAATCATCGAGAACTTGAATTATAATACGATCAGACGGCCAAGAAAGGCTACATGCAGCTCCAATTGAGAGTTGATACACCTGAACATGCATACACAAGAATTTAACCCAAATGTGCATAATAAAGAAGAAAAGAATTCCAAAATAAATAAATAAACATGACCTCTCTTTCGTTGAACATTGGGATTTGAATTAGAACAGTGGGATAAACTGAATTTCCCAGCTCCAAATCATCTTTTAGAGGCTCCCATTTGTATCTTTCTTCAGGTTTATTTCCAAATATTTTTACAAGAACAATAACAATGCTCATATATACCCTTTCAACGAACAACATTACTGACATCAACAAACACAAAAACAGAGCAATTCTAAGCAAAGGTACAATCAATGGTGCTTTCATTTGATCCCAAATGATCATAAAGTGCCCTGTAATATCATCTCTTGCACCCACAAATGTGTCTGGTAGAAGGGTTGTCGATGAAATTCGATCCATTTTTAGAGAAAAACAGATGAAATTGACCTGGTTTTTTCTTAGAAAATCAGGATCTCGTTAAGAAGTGTTGGAAAATACCCAAAATAAGCTCTGTTTTCTCCCTTTTCTGCCTCTGCAATCAGAAGAAAACAGAAGCAGAAGAATGCATGTAAGTAAACAAGAGAGAAAAAGAGGGAAGAAAAGGCAATGGAGAAAGAAACAGAGCACTAAATATATATAGAGGGAAATGAAAGAATGGCTGGGAGAGAATGACTCTTTGCATTTTGGTTTCAAACACGGCAGAAAAAAAGTTTAAAACTATTCCAACTACAAATCAAAGTGCGCGGTTTGTGTACACCAGTGATAATAACCTCTCACCTACAAAACTCTGACAATGTGGCAGTCGCCGCCGGTCATATTCCGGCCACGCCACCGGCCATACAATATATGTGGACACGTGTCTAAAGCCAACGGCTAATAATAATAAGGGTTAACCTAAATTTATATTTGGATGATTCAGAATTTTGAGAAAATAAATGCGAGGGACCACGCAATAACACAAACAAAGCCCAAATCCAATTATGTGATAGCTCACATAATTAGTAATTTTACACAAATCCAATTAGTAATTTTAAAACCTTTTTTTTTTTTTTAATAAATTTGTTAGCAATTAAGCTTTTTTAAGCATAGCTAAACATCCTCTCTTGGTCACCCCTCCCAAGTCCCACGGCTTGGTTCTGTAGGCCAAACAAGGTCTCTTCCTCAAAATTAAGAGAAAATTGCAACCTTGAAGTCAAAATTATTCCTCCTGCCTCCAACTTTTGGTTTTTCGTTTCCAGGAAAAATAATTCTTTGCATTTTCCTTGTTTGATGTAGCTAAAAAAAAAAAAAAAAAAAAATTTGAGAAAATTAAAAAAAAAAAAAAAAAAAAATTTGAGAAAATTAAAAAAAAAAAAAAAAAAAAATTTGAGAAAATTAAAAAAAAAAAAAAAAAAAAAAAAAAAAATCAGAATTTGAGTAAATTGACAAAATATATAATCAAAAAATTGATAAAAATTGCGACTCCCATAAAATATATAATTAAATTAATTGTTGATTTTGATTTAAATTTTTAAACGACGCTAAATAGGAGCTTCGTTATCAAAAAAGTTAACGTAGTCATTGGGTAGAAAGATATGTTATTGCCAATTTTAGAAAAATGATCTAACGAGAGCTTTAATTCTAAATCAAAACTAACTTAGATAAGATGACATTTGTTAAGATCGTATGCTTCACATGTTAGCTATAAAACATTTACAAATTTGAAGCTCCCACATCGTGCCATAAAAGGCAGAGTTGCAAAGATCAAAACCTAACATAAATAGACATCTACTTTACAACGAGTTAGGTACAATTTTACATATTAAATTGATTAGCTTGAGTACGAGTGTACACTCCAAAAGAGTTTCAACATATTAAGTGCGACATATGTGTTTAAAATTCGAGTAGAATGTGCATGCATGCCATCTATTAAGAATCCATGGATTACATCAAAACGGTAACATGCAAAGATGACAATAGTGCATAGGGTATGAAAGAATGATGTTAATGAATGAAATTGTGCCCACCAACAAGACCTATTTACAAGTCTTGGAAAAGTTGTGTCCGAAAAGAGACAAACATAGGAAGCGACATGTTCAAACAAACATATATTGTCTGCACAGCACATGTGCAAACATATCTAACTAATATTGTGGGAATGAAAGAAGATTTTTGAATATGGTGGACATTATTTCATTTGGTTCTGGTTTTAAAAAGTCAATTTGAACGATAAATTAATGGTTTTTTTTGACAATAGAACCAAATGATTTTTTTTAAAGATATGGATCCGAACCAAACAGGATCGATTCTAGTTTGATTCTAGTTTCATTTCTTAAATTTTCAGATTTGCACCATATAAGTTAGTAAAATATACCTAAATAAAAAAAATAAACATCAAACGTTCAACAAGTTCAAATTTCAATCATAAAGATTAAAAAAGTCCAAGCTAACAAACAAAATATAGTTTTCACTAATTTGAATATACAAATCAGTTTTCATTCTCATACAAAAAATTATTTAATAAGTAATAGCAACGATTCATTAAATTAATTGCACTAATTTTGAACACACACCCCTACAATAAAGAATGAATTATGCAAAAATTTTACACTTTTACATGCAACATTAAATGTTTAATACTGCATGAATGTTTATTGGATTTTCCTCTATTTGTGAAGAACGCAAATAACTTATCAAACAATCAAGGTAAAAAAATAGTTTAAGAACTTTTTGAGTAACTCACCAATTTCATTTTCCAATCCTAAAAGAGACTCCACTGATTTAATGAAATGCGATTCCAACTGCCACGATATTGTGTAAATTGAAAAGGAATTAAGGAGAAATGATTCAAATGAATAAAAAATTTGGACGTACACAACTAATGAGTTGTCCGTCTCTAGTTACCCAAAGGGTCTTCGCTAATTAATACATATATATATATATATATAAAATTAAACATTAAGTTTGGTTCTGGTTCTAGTTCTCGATTCTTAAACTAGAATCAAATCAGAACCAAAACCAAATGGTTTTCGATTTAAAGAATCAAAACCTTTTTTTTTTTTTTTACAAAACTAAACCGAACCACTTAGTTTGATTTGGTTTGGTCTGAATATTTTGTCCATCTATATTTTTGAAAGTTGAGGACTTATTCTGCAATGCCGTGTGTATAACAAATTTCCAAAAGTATGGTATAGACAAACATGATAGATTTTCGGAACATTGAAACGATATTCCATCGAACTTGTCTCTCAAAATCTGCTGCTACATAATGAACTTACTGAACTTCAAATCATATAAATGTAATATATATTTATTGAACAGCAGTAGTTGCAAGTGAGTTACAAGAGCATCTTCAAAAAACTATAAAATACAATAAGTTATGTAATTAATAGTGTCAATACTTCAAAATAAGTTTCAAGAGATTCTGCTCCCGTTTGCCCCCTTTTTCTTTCAATTTTTCTCTTATTTTCAACCACACAATCTTTCATAAAATAATATTATATGTAAATCAAAAATTTTTCCTTCTTTTTCAAAGATTCTTCAACAAATACACTATTCCAAATATTAAAATTTGAAAGAGATATATGTGGCCATAATAGAGAACCTCCAAACTCATTCTCTATTCTTACTTTAATGATTGCATTTACTAAATTACATATTTCAATATTATTTAAATTATTCAAACCATAATTCAATTGACATCTTAAAAAGTGTTAAATAAAAGAAGATAGTAAATTAATAAATGTTTCTTGAGTAAAGTAAAATAATAAGTATTCTTGAAGTGTATATAAAATTGAACTCTCTAAATATAAAGATACTTTATATTATGCATATAATGTTTTCTATAAATAAGTGAGTAATAGACTGCTCTCCATTAATTTGCATACTACCAAATTCATTTAATTATACAGTTAGCATAAAGTAAGAAAAATCTTTGAATTTACGTGTAAAATATTTTATTATGTGAATATATAGTTGAAAATAAGTATAAACATTAAATAATATAGAATTGATAGATACGCATAATTGATAGGCTAACTGTGGGAAACATTGAATTGGCATCCCATATGTCTCCTAAATTCTTCTGGTAATTAATCAATTAATTGAATATTAAAACCATATACAAATATTGAGGTCTATGCTCCTTTCTCTTTCAAGACATCTCACTGTAAATTTTGTTTTTCAAGTTCTCACCTTCAATATATGAGGTGACCTTTTGAAATATACATTTTAATTATTTTCTTTGTATCATTTCAATTTTATTGAACGTCCCAAAAAACACAATGTAATTTTAAAATAGTATAATTGGTTGATTCGATTAGTTCAAAGTAAAATGGATTTTGTTTCTAAGGAATAACCGCACACCTAAATTTATAGACGTAAGTTCACAAATGAGTAATTCCCCCAAAAAAAAAAAAATTACAAGATACAAAATTTGCCCCCCCCCCCCAAAAAAAATAATAAATAAATTTACAAGATACAAAATTTGAACAAAAATAAGTTTTTAATTGTCATGTAAAATGTAAATGATAGAACATGTATATGACCTTTTAAGTTGTAACAAATTAGGGATATTTCATTTGTGCGCGGGCCTGCCCCTCGTGTGAGGTGCGTGTAACACCAGCTACAAGTAGCTCGGTACAACAATTTATCATAACATGTATCACTATATTCTAACTTACTCTTTTTATAATGAGTAAAAACTTTCATTTATGTTAAGTTTATCTTCTTCGATATTTTCCTGTCTTTTATCGAAAAAATTGGGTCTTGCTTGTTCATTATCTGTCAATTTCAATTAGTCAGTGTCACTATAATTAATCCACATTTATAACAATCTTTCTATAAATATTACCAGTCCAATTAATTTTCTATTACTTTTAACAAATATAAACTAACACGTTTTCCTAATTTTATTTACGGGCTTTCTCCCTTCTTTTCTCGACCAGACAAAGGAAATATTTACATATAATTATCAGTTACCATTAAAAGCGACGACAAATTCCATAAAATAACTCATTTTGAGTGACAAACACAATTAAAATAAAAAATAAAAAAATTATAGAAATCTGCATAAAAAGTGCAAAAATTGAATAGAATCCAGTGCCTCACCCTTGGAATAAACCTTTTATTTGTATCATTTCAGTAATTATAATGTTTGGTGGGGGCGTCGGTGGTAGAAAGATCAATAGCATCTGCAACATACTCCCCAAGGTTCATAATGAGTCAAAAAAAAAAAAATAATAATAATAAATAATATATATATTATGATAGTTAAGTTCATTTTTCTTTGACCAATTAAATGATGGATAATAATTCAATTAATTGAAGGAAGAAAAATATGCAAAATATTTAGTCATTGATAGTACGACTATAACATATGTTCTCCATGTTTGAGTTATTGATAATTCTTTCGATTGCAATTTTTTACTTATATAATCATATATATGAAAAATTTCAAAAAATGTTGGCAATTTCTCACTAATATATGATTCAAGACCCCCTCACCCTCTTTTTTTAAATTTCGTTTATGGGTTAAAAACTTAAAATGATCAAATACGTGTTAGACTTTTAATATCCCTCTTTTACCAACAAACCCTACTGAACTATATGTTGGAAAGGAGATCCTCAGGCCAAACTCGACACAACTTGAGAAACGGGAGGTGCAGGTAAAACTCATTTTACCTATCTTGTTTCTTTTTTATTTATTTTGGAAAAAGTATTCAAAAATTTGTTCTTTTTTAAAAAATTCTTCCACGTTGAGGTCATTGGTCATGAGAAGTACAAGAATTCAGATATCCAGACGCCAAATTGCCCCTTACAAATATTTGAAGGGATAACCAATTAGATTTCAGTGAAGATCAGATTATCTTATTGGGCTTCTCGAGGAAATCCAAGAACACGGATAGACTTATGGCGTCTCGTAGACCGAATGTTAATACCCATAAAAAAATTGCCCAACAAAAGTCAATGAAGGAAAAAATGGAGATGCGGGGTATCGATCCCCGTACCTCTCGCATGCTAAGCGAGCGCTCTACCATCTGAGCTACATCCCCAGGCATGCTTAGCTGTTGCTTCTTTTGATTATATTATTTTATTTGATATCGCCCATTCCTGGGTCATATTACCCTGCCCAAAGTAAACCTAGATCCAGTTTTCCTTCGCCAAATGCTCATTTTTGTATATCCTTTTTAAATTGCAAATTAATACGTTAAAAAAAATTGGAACAGTAGATCTAAAAGTCGTAAAAAGGGTAATGTGTTCAAGAAGAAATACAATATTATTGCAAGTTACTACTTCCATTACTTGACAAGCCAACACAAACATTATATACATGTTAAAGTGAAATACTGCCGAATATCCAGTGTCTCGTGCACACATTTATAAAGCATTACTCTACAACTGAGGATCAATTCTCTCCACTGTTTCGGTAACGCAACTTAGCCAATCATCACTAACCTCCCCTCTCAATATCCTCTCCTTCGCCTCCTCATCTGCGTAGTTTGGATCATTCTCATGTATGGCTGCCGGCACTGCATTCAGTTCATCCGCCGGATACTCCCACAGTACCATGTGATATTCCTTCCATGGCCACCCAATGGTCGCCCGTCAACCGGGTGGAGTTTCTTCTCGATGTGCCTTAGTGTGTCGATGTTGTGTCCGTTTCAACTTTCTCTACTCGTTTTCGTCCCTCCTTGTCCCCACTTACACCTCGGAACGTCATCGTTGCTTTTATATGGTCTATGGGCTGCTGCATAGAGAATGTATATGCATCTCAACATGCAGAAATAAAATTACAACTTGAAAATATAATGGGTTATTTTGTCAATTACTTTAATTTTTTTGAATTTTATGTTACTTTATTTTTCATGTTACGTGTTATGTTGGGAATAATCGATAGTGTAAGATATTATTAAGTGATAATGAGTCGAGAGTTGTTAATGTTTTCATTATTGAGACTAGCTAAATAATATTTAACTTTATTTAAAAAATTATTTTGGCATAATTGTAAAAACTTAAAAAAAAAGGAGTTGAATTGGAATGATTCTTTGATGACAATTTTGAGTACACAGCTACATATATATATATATACACTTTTCAGATGGGAGTAAATGAAATAAAACAAATACAAAGAGGGTAGCCATTCCCGTAAATGTTGGATGAGCCTTTGAATCCATTACTAAGAATGACCCACAATATCGTTGTTTAGGATTTAGCTTATCTGATTTAATTTACGTGTCACCTTTTGACGATATTTTTTACATATTACCAGACGAATTTCTCTGTATTTTTTAATGGTCTTGAGTAAAATCAAACCATATGATTATACTATATTTGTATGAAGATTTCATCTAACTAAAGAGCCTTTAAACATAAAATAAAATAAAAAAATAACAAGAGTTCAGAAATGACCTCTTGATTTTAATACAAGTTCACGAATCATTCATATAATGGCAAAAAATATGAAAGCATTAACAATGACGATATAAACTCAACATGAACTCATTTTTAACCTAAAGAAAACGCAATCATTAGAATTCAACTCAACATAAATATAATTATGCTTCTCTTTCTAGATGTAAATTGCATTTTTCAAAGTCTACCTTCAATATATTAGGTGAGTTTTTGAAATATTCGAAAATTGCAATAAATTTTAATCGGAAGTGTTATCTAAAAATTGAGTTAGTTTCTGGAGTAATTTTTTTTTTTTTGTTTTTTTTTACATAGTTGCTAGTTTGTTCGGTAAATTTTTAACAACTTGATGACGATACTATTTTTCAAGTTTTTTTTATGAAATATAGGATGTTGTCAGTTTCACCAACGAAAATGGGTTGTGCTATTTGTACAGACAGTGCAAAGAAGTCTGTGCAGGAGCTTTATTCCAACGAAAATAATTGAAAGGAAAACCAAATGAAGCTACTGCTTTTCACATTCCACACCATTGAAAGTTACTACAGAAGAAAGGCTGTCAGGAATAAACAGTACAACGTTATGCAAGTTACAGCATAGGATTCTATAAACCTATCTGAACAAAAGCATTACCCTGGAACTTTTTAGGGTTGATGTCTATTCCCTCAGCCCCACTACCCATCCGTCTCATTATCCTCTCCTGCGCACGCTGAGCAAAATGAGACGAAAATCTTAAGAACTCGAAATTTGGAATTCACCAAATTATAAAGAAATAAACTCACCAAATTTTATTAATATAAAGATGGACTCCCTTATTTATAATTAAATAACAAAAATACCGTTAAAATTTTGAAAATTAATTTTTGAACCCTAGGCAAAATCAAATGGCCGAAATCCATCGTATATCATGCAAAACGATGAGTATTACTTGTTTCGTTGTCCTCTTTTCGGAATGGTATTATGATCTCAAAACCGAAATTCGGATGTTTTTCATCCTTTTAATCAAAATTTTCTTCCATTCATTCAACAATTCAATAATATGTTGTACATCACTCCTCATTCGCGTAGTTTGTATCATTCTCATCTATGGCCATCGAAGCTTCATCAGCTCATTTTCAGCCGCTTTTTCCGGGCCATCCCAAGTGAATTTTCCTCCATTGCTGGCTTTCCTGTTTTTGGACTCCTCTTTCGTCTAGTTTCTTCTTCATGTAACTTAGTGTATCTATGTTGGGAGTGTCTGTTTCTTTCTCTATGCGTTTTCGTCCCTCCTCTTCCCCGCTTACTGCTTGGAAAGTCACCTTGGGTCCTTGTCCTTTGTGTCGTCATTGGGCTGCTGCATGTTTGTGTGATCTGTGTTGATACGAAACTATGTCTAATTTTAATGATTAATTGAATTTTAATTAATAAAAAAGAAAGATTTCTTACAAAATTGTTTGTTCGACGGTGTAGTTATAAAGAAAGTTAGAAATATGTTTCAGATTTTTAGAAATTACCTTCTTTTTTTTTTGGAATTTCAATACAAAATCTTAAGTCCTGATTGATTTAGATAAAAATGAAATCATCAATAGATTTGATAAAATTTGATGGAATTTAGGATTAAACAGCTGTGAATACTATAAAATATGAGGTTAGAATTAATTGTTAATTCGATTTAGATTTTAATGAGATTTTTTTTAACTGATTCAAACAGGGACTAAATTTTTCTCACTGTCGAAGAAAAAAAAAAAAAAACAAACGCAACAACGTAAGTTTACTTTTCGAATCTTGCCAGCATGTTAGAACTTGGAATATATAGTACTAAACGACAAACAATGGACCCGATACTCCTAATGCTAATTTTCTAAGGAATCTTCTGCTTTTTATATTTTCCTTTAAAGTCTTGTTGAAGATTTGGATTATTAAAAAAAAAAAAAAAAGGTTGAACCCCAACCTTGGGGCTTCCACCGCCCTGCCCCTAGAGCTTTGTGAGGGAGGTAAATCGCGGGATGTGCCCCAATAAGTCAGGGAACAAGAGCTGTCTGTACACTACGCCTATAAGAAATCTAATTCCATGTTTCAGGAATCGAATCCCCACACTGCAGCTGCTAAGATAACCTCACTCTTGTCCTTTGCACCACTAGATTATGCCTGAGGAGCAAGATTTGGATTATTGATTATACGATGTGTTGGATTTAGTATTCCTACTCCATGTCCTTTGGTATGTGTGGTAGCTTGAAATTTCAAAAGTGGAGCTATTCCTTGAAATAATTAATTAATTAGCCACTAAACCATAATTTAATTTCATTTAAGTCCTAAACAAAATTATTGATTTTAATCTCAAATTAAAAATAACAAGAGAGAAAAGCAGATGTATATACTTACCAATATCTAGTTATGCATGGAGATAATAAGATAATAATAAGTAATATAAAATACATTCTTGATCAAACATTAATACTGTCATATTTGTCTCAAAGGTAGATTTGATACACAATAGTGAATTGTACATATGGAATAATAGATAAGGAATATATTTGGTGTTATACCCATTGAAAGGGATTGAGCGGAGTTATGAGTTCTCTCGGTCCCAATATAATTCAAATTTGTAAGAGGAATAATTGTAACATTTGAGCTCAGTCCCAACTACCTTTCTAGCACTATTGAGGATGACATATATGCAAACGTACGATAATCACCACCCAAATTCATCGATGATGGTTCTAAGTATCAGAGCATGCGTTATCCATCATTAAATCCACTTTGGCCGTTCATTCAGGGCTAAGTGAGTTGCAACCGATGCTTTGAACATCAAGGAAATTTGATACGCCGTCTTATTAATTTCAAATGGTATTTGTTTGGATTTTTTTCGTAAATGATTCGACAGAATAATTAATATATGTGATTAAATAGAATATTTAGAATAATCATAGATTATGCTGTCAAGAGATTGGCATGATTATGCTTAACAAAGTGTCACAAACCTAAAGCAAATAGGTGTGGAATAAATGGGATGGCCCTCCTAATTTCTTTTATCGTACATGAATTCCAAACCATTTGGCATAATAAAAGAAACAAAGCTAAAGTTATTGTCCTCTTTCAAACTTTTTCTGATCTATAAATTATCAACTTAACCTTAATTTCGTACAATTCGAATTTGAGAAATGGCAGACAAACTCAAAAAAAAAATTGTGGTTTCTGATGAAAGCAGCGAAGATGAAAATGAGTTAGACCTTCCTTTGGAAAAATTGAATTTGGGTCCTAAAAAGAAACTTCTCGTTCTCTGTCTTGGCGGAGTACTTACACATAGAGTGCATGTTAGAGATAAGCACACGGTTCGTGGATTGAAACCTGATGTCACCTACGGAAAATTTCTCGGTAAATAATAAAAATTTACTACTATTTATTTTTGTAATTTTTCAATTAATTTTCTTCATGGTTTTAAATTATCATCACTTCAAAACAGTTTTCAAGAGGCCGTTTTGTACCGACTTCATGAAATTTTGCTTTGAACGATTTGTGGTGGGCTTGTGGTCGTCTGCTAGAGAGTAAGTGCAACTTATTACTTTTTCTTGATTCTTTTGTATGTTCATGTACAATATTTATGCTGATGTTGAAATGAATAGCCATAACATTGATGGTGTTTTGAGCTGTATCACTGGACCTGGAATGAGAAGCAAGTTAGCTTTTGTATGGGTAAGTCTAATTTCCTCATAAACATTGAAATCGGATGTCAATTATATTAAATGTATGGTAGAATGAGAATCTGGCTCGATTTTTCATTCTTATTATCGTCCAGTAACATAGAGTTCACCTTATTAAACAATAAGGGTGCGTTTGGTATGCGTTTATATTTTTAATTTTGAATTTGTTGACCTCAAAAAATGTATCTCCAATGTGGCCAACAGATCTCAAGACCTCTCACGTCCAAGCAAGCCATATCCCTACACACTAGGACAAACTATTAGCCACATGTGGCCTTCTCCAGTGATTGTGGAGCCGATCGCACGCACTTTGATAATCAAGTTAGTTTTAGGGAAAAAATATATGAGTGTGGGGAGCTTTTAACATAAGTCTCCAATGTAAAAAAGAGGGTCGGTATTGAGAGTAGATGAAGAATGTAGAGAGCAAAATTATAATATCAAAATCCAAACTTGCATTACCTTTGGCATAACACCAAGTGTGAGCTTTTATAGTGTGAGACAATGAGTATAACTTTCCATCATGAGCATCAATCAATCCCTAGCTATTAATGCTAGTACCAACTCTTCTTCTATAAGTTATAGCCTGTGGCAGTAGGCTTAATCAAGTAGGTTGGCTGTGGCGGTGATGACAGCGAGTTGTCACATCAGTCACTTCAATAGATCCGTTTCATGAAGATTTTTAGGTCCGTTCTTTATTTTCCTTTAGCTCCTGCTTGAGAGGCTCAGCCTTAAGAGCTCGGTTGCAGCATGGGTTTGGCCACCAGATAGGTTCGTTCCACAGGGGTTAGAACGACAGATTTTTGCCACTTGGTTTGCATGCATGGGGTCAACTGCCGATGATGTGGCCTAGGTTGTTGAAAGGCATAACATATTTCATTTTCTATTTTCTATTTTGAGGGATTATTTTAAAATTACAAAAAAAAAAATGTTTGATTTGTTTGAAAAACTGTTTCTCAAAACAAAAACAAAAAATTAGAAAATGCATTTGGTTTAAATCTTTTAGAAATAATTTTATGATATTTTAGAAGAGTATAGGAAGAGAAAGAGAGATAGAGGGAGGGGTATCTGTATTTGGGTAATGTTTTATGTGATTTTATAAATTATTTTAATTTGAGAAATTTTTAAGCTCATTTTCCTTGTTTTGAGTTTTTAAGGGTTTTTATCAAAATCACTCAAAACGTCAAAAAGTCGTTTTGAGTTTTGTGTTATAAAATTTCCTAGTTTTCAAAATCGTATTTGTGAAAATAACATACCAAATACGTTTTGAGTCTTTTCGAAAATTGAAAACTAAAAATGGCAACGACAAACAAACGCACTCTAAAGTTCTCTGTCTGTTTATAGAGTCAAGATGAATGTACAGAATCTGGATTTTACTGCCTAAGGAAGGAAGAAAAGCCTCTGTTTCTTAAGAATTTGAAGGATCTCTGGGAAAAGAAATACCGAAGTCTTCCCTGGGAGAAGGGACAATATTCATCTTTAAATACATTGTTGGTTGACGATGAACCCCACACGTGCCTGTTGAATCCTGTAAGGACAACACTGTTTCAAGAATTTCAGTTTCGATAAATTAATTGTCATTGAAGTTAATTTCTTAATTGTCGTAACATGCAGCCTGATACTGCGATATTTCCCCAACCGTACAAAAAGCCCGACCTCAAAGATACACTTCTAGGTGAGATAGAACTAGTCAATTAGATTTTGCCTTGCAGGATCTGATTTCATTCGGAATTTTTTAGGGCCAAATGGTGAATTACGAGGCTTTCTGGAAGGACTTACTGATGCAGACAATGTTCCTACTTACGTGAAAAAGCATAGAATCGGACAGCTTGCTATAACACCTTCACACCCCGACTGGAGTTACTATGCCAAGGTCGTTCGCCATTTTGGCAAGAAAGATGAAGAAAGAGATGATAATACTAGTGAATGAGAACTAATCTCTAAACAGCTTTGGATGCTGCGATCCAAAATTATAATAAATGTGTGATGCAACATATCAGTGCTTTTTGTATTTGAACTTGGCTGTTGGAAATTATATATTAAGAACTTCTATGCTATTCTTCCTTTGTTAATTCATTGGGAGTTAGTTTTCCTAAACTCAAAATTACACACAATCATCAAATATAAGAGCAAGCAAGGAGAGAAGATTATTAAACAACCCAACTTATGTTTAACAACAAAGGAACTCTATGAGAATTCAAGAATTGTAACCAAAATTTCAATCTTGGATGACAAAAATTATCAAACAACTTTTTTTATTTTTTCATTTTTAAATAGAAGAAATGTTTTATTTCGTTAACTACGATATTTTTGTTGAGTAGAACACCACATCCGCAATTGTCAGGGTTAAAAATCAAAATGTACATTGAACTTCGCACAATGTTTTCCACTGAACATTAAACTTTGGAAGTTTTCTGATTATTGTCAAACTTATGAAATTGAAATTCCATCGACCGTTAAAATTCAGTTATTTCCAAATGGTCACTAAAATATCAAATCATTATCCTATTGAACATTAAACTTTAAAATTTTTTAAGATAATTGTTGACCCAAAAAATTGTTGTCAACAGATGCCGGACCCACCCGTACACACGTGAGCGAAGGTCCTACATGTTAAGACACATGGACGGTCTAGAACGAATGGATCAGGGCGGGGAGTAGCTCAACGACGCGGGATGAGAACGATTGAAATCTGTGGGATGTTCGTAATCCGATTGTACAATAATTACCAATCGGTGCTCATGAATGTGCATGTAAATATGTATAAACTCGTATTATATTGCAAGATAATATGAAAGAGAGAGTAAAGTATGGTTTCTTGTATTGATTCTTGCATTAGCCCTTTAATGTTATACAAGGGAAATATTTATAGTGGTACATGTGAAATGGCAGCCCTTGGATTAGGTGGCACGTAACCTCATCTCTTTAATTCAAACGTTCAATCCTAGGCATCATCCTTGACTTGACTTGCTAGCTTGCTGCGCATTTATTGTTTATGCAGAACCCACATGCTAATGACAAGACTTGACATGTACACTTATAACAAACGTTCCATCAATCATTCAAACAAGATCTTTATATAGAAGATCTCTTGGGAGAAGTGATCATAGAAGATGTTCCTTCATGGTTCGGAGGCTTCTGCTTCGGCTTCGGATTCAGGGCTTCTGTCACTCACGTAATACTTCTGCTTTAGGGCTTCGGCTAACTTTTCGGTGATCTCGCATCATAGCTTCGGTTCATGGGCCTCGACGTATGGACTTCGGCTACTTTCACAGGCCTTGGTATATGGGCCTCGGCATGAAGGGCCTCCACCATACATGCTACCTCGGCTAGAGTGCCACGTGGTTTGCATTGAGTGGGCCATAGGCCCAAATAGGTTGGCCAAGCATGACGACACGTAACAATAGTCCCCCAAGTCCAAGTATAGTCATTTATGTAATGCGTGGACTTTAATGAAGTAAAGCCAGTGGGTTGGGTAAAAATTGAAAGAATTTTTGAACTCCAAATAATAGTCCCCCAAGTCCAAGTATAGATATTTATATCATGATTGGAGTTAAAAATGTGCTGTTGTGGGTGAATGATGAAAAAGTCGAGGTGGTGGAATGAACTGAATATGCGAGGCTTGTGAAAGCTGAAATTGAAGATGACGCCGAGGTGGTTGAGGAACTGAACCTGCGAGGCTTGATGGCTGAAAGATGAAGATGAGCCGAGGTGGTTGGGAAACCGAACCTGCGAGGCTTGATGGTTGAATGTTAAAGATGAAGCCGAGGTGGTTGGGAAACTGAACATGCGAGGCTTGATGACTGAATGTTGAAGATAAAGCCGAGGTGGTTGGAAAATCGAATCTGCGAGGCTTGATGGTTAAATGTTGAAGATGAAGTCGAGGTTCATTGACAATAATTGATCCTTGGCAGTTGTGCCAATGATTTGATGTTTTGCGCATGTTTTCAAGGAAAGGTGGCTAAACCGTTGCGACTTCCAAGGCGTCTGCTGCCGTTGAATTAAAATCGTAATTATTAGAACAGCTGGAGCTTCTAGAAGCAGACGCGTTGGATGAGGTGCGTGGGAGACACGCTTAAATCTGAGACGTAGATTTGAAAAATCGTTTGAATTCTACGCCTCAGATTTGATTTAAAATGAAGGGTTCAGATTGAATGAGCTTTGATCTGACGGTGAGGGTTCGTCCTGGCCCTTTATAAAAGGCAAAAGAACTCCTTTTTTCTGGATTTTTCAACACTTGCCATCTGATTTCTTCTCTTAGAGTTTAAACTTTCCGACGTTGCTGTCCGTTCACTGTTTTTCCGGCACTTTCTGTTCACGTAGTTTTTCAGTAGGTATTTTTCACAGAAAATCCTCCTTTTATTGCGTTTTTAGTCATTTCTGAGATGGAGTCCACCTCGAGTAGGGAGTTGGTCACTGTAACGTCATTTGGCCATGGGGTCAGTCACAGGGGAGATTCTGAGGTTGATAGGTATGCTATGACCGAGGATCCAGTAGACTATAGCGAAGAGTGGGGGCGTCTAGGGTGCCTTCAAATATGACATGGAAGAGGCTGGGGGAGATTAGGGAGAGGTACTGTGTGCCTCACTATGTGGAAACGTTAGTTCTCGAAACCCATGAACGGACCTGTTATCCGAGGCTTGGTTGTGTGGCGGTGAGTGAATACCTGTTTAAGGCAGGTATGCGTCTTCCTCTGCACCCCTTCTTTAGGGCGGTGCTGAGGAATTTCATGTTGTCACCGATCCAGGTTCTGCCAAACGGGTGGAGCCAGTTGGTCGGCTCGTACTTTCTGTGGAAGGAAGTATCACTTCGGGAGGACGTGCCTCTCCATGTCTTCATGACCTTGTTCCAGCCTAGGGTAATAGGGAAGGAGTCGAGGGGTTGGCATTACCTAACTCCTTGGGGGGCTCATGCACCATTTGTAGTGGGACTACCTTCTTCCATCAAGGGGTGGAAGGAGTCGTGATTCTGGGTGCGAGGCAGGCAATGGAGGGGGACAAAGCCCTAGCTTGCACAGTACCGACCCAGTACTATGAAGCTCGTGAGTCTCCCAGCCCAAGTAATTTGGAATCTGTATTAAAAATTTTATTTTTCTAACTATTGAGGCGTCCTTTGCAGATAGTAGTACGACGTTCGAGCTGAGCAGAGAGGAGTTTGAAGTGATAGAGGATATTTACAAGAGACCTCTGAAGTTTCGCCACTTCGACCACCTCATCGACAGAAGTCGCTACTTCCTCGATTTTGAACTAATGGCCTCCAAGGGTACGAAGCTCCCACACTTGTATATTTTTGTGTTTTCATTTTGATACTGACGCACTGTGTTCTGCAGACAAGTTTAAGAGAAAGGAGTACCCAGTTTCTGACATGGCTTCCATACTTAAGGAAACCTCCACTATGAAGGGGAGGCCCCTGAAGCCAGGGTCAAGTGGCGCCACGGAGGTCAGAGGTAGAGTTGAGCGTCTCTCCAAGGACAGCACACCGGAGGCTTCTGAAGAGGAGACCCCCCAGAGGCCAAAAAAGTCTAAGGAGCCTCAGGAGAAGGAGAAAGTCCCTGAGGAGTCGAAGAAAAGGAAGCTGGTCCATGTCTCCAGCTCGTCTGGCAAGTTTGGGACTTCTGTGTCCCATGAAGGCAAAGAAGTCGGGCAGTCGAAGCTACTAGAAGCCACCTCAAAAGCGATTAAGATTTAAATGGTTAGGCGTGTCGAGGCTGAAGAGGCTACAAGGAGGGCAGTTGAGGTGGCCGAGGAGAAGGCTACCAAATAGAGGCCTACTCGAGTGCAAGGGAAGTCTCCGAGCTTCCTTGCTGGAAGGGAGGAGCCTCTGGCCCCAGCTTTGGTGGAGGCCCTGCCACTTGAGATCCGAGGCGCTACTGAAAGTTTTTATAAATTCTGGACGAATCGGTGGTAGTTTCATGCCTCCTCTTGTGATCCCACGGACTTGACAAGGGCTCTTGTGAGCCAAAGTGTTAGGACTTTTGGCCTTGCACTAGAGTGTAGGGAGGCCCTTACTAACGTTCAGATGAGGACCCAGTTCTCAGAGAGGAAGACGGCCTCCCTTGCAGGAAGCTAAAGGCAGCTAGGGCCGAGGTTGAGGAAGCTAAGGCCCAAAAACTTGAAGAATCGGCCAAGCTGGAGTCTGCCTTGGCTCAGATAGAGGCATTGAAGAAGGAGGTACATGAGTCCTAGTGCGAGATTGCCTCCTTGACTAAGAAGGTGGAGGTTTCCAATGAGCACTAGAAGGTGACTCCCGAAACCTTGGAGAAGGCAAATTCGGCATTGGCATCAGCCCAAGATGCGTAATAGTTCTTGGAAGACCAAATTAAATGGTATGTGGATGATGCCACCAAGGCAAGGGAGAAGGCCCAAGAGGGTAGGGAAGAAGCGGTGAAGGACTACATCGCCAACTTTCAGAACACTGAGGAGTACAAGAGCTTCAGCACTTACTGGAGGAACTTTGCTTATGCTGAGGAAATGGAGCGGGCTGAGGAGTTGTATCCCAATCAGGATCTGTCGCAACTCAGGTCAGAGTTTGTGGACGAAGTGCCTCAAACCCTAGCTGATGAAGTGGTGGGTGATGAAGTAGTAGAGGTAGAAGAAGCAAATTCTGATGCTCAAGCTGCGGAAGTCCCAGCTGCTAAGGCACCTCCATCATCTTCCCAGGCTTAGGATAGTTTTCTTTTCAGTTACCCATGATGTACTGGCCTCAGACCCCCCTTTTGTAATCTCAGTTGAAAGTCAATATAATTTCTTTTTCCTTCAATGTTGTTTCTTTCTCTTAAGTATGTTGGCATCGTTAAGTAATTGAACGTAATGTTGATTGAAGAACTAAATAACTTTAACTGGGTATCCTAACTCCAATCACTTGAACAAATAAATTGTATGCAAGCTTCACGAGTTATAACCAATATTGGATTTAAGCAAATGGATTGTACTTAAGCTTAATAATTGTAACCTGAAGGGATCCCAAGAATGGACTGTGTTGCAGTCGAACTGGGAATATTACTCTGATTCAAGTGTATGAGCCTCGGAGTTCAAACGAGGTGGCTCAGAGATGGGACGC